GAAAAAAATGCCTCTTCCCAGGACACTTTACCGTGATCTTCCTGAAAAGTGCGCTAATTATGCAAACTTTGGTGGCATCAAGGTGACTGCGTCCCCTAGAGTTGTACAGTGCAGAGTTTGCACAACTGTGAGCAGCCCTGAAAATGGAGCGAGTTCTCTGGTGATTCTCTTCACTTCTCTATCCCCTCCCCTCCCCTCTTTTCCTTATCCTTTCTCACAGAGCTGGGGACCAGGGGGCCATTTCTCACCAGGGAGGGAAAGGGAAGGAAGGGCAGAGACAGAGGAGGAGGAGGGAGAGTGTGAAGGACAGCAGAGGGAAAAGGGCAGGACTTGTTTCTTGGCTCTCAGAAACTGAAACCAAAAGTCCTGGCAGGAGTCAACCTGAAAAGCAAAATGCTAAGGTTGCAAAGCTGTGCTGAGGGAGCAAAGCCACTGTATCTGGGCAGCAGCCCTGGTCAGAGACACTCTAGCCAAAATCTTGTGTTGCCTATACCAGGCCTTGCCCCTGATCCTGACAAGAAGTATACACGGCAAGAGTCTGTTTTCTCTGAGGATTCACACAGCCCCTCCAGACATTACAGTGCCCAGTGCTGGGGTTTGGATCATTGCTGGAGCAGGCAGTGGGTGCCTACTCAAGCCAGTGAGTCACTGGATGACCCGAGAGTGGGTGACCCTTAGCTTTGGCTGGTGTTAGTGTCTTTGTGGACATACACACACCCATGAAGCTGGGAAAGGTGGCATCTGTGTACCTGGCCCTATTTCCCCAAGTTAAGCTTAGGACATGTGAAGTAATATGGATTTTTGTGACCTACCTGGTTGTGAGAAGTCAATTTGGTGCTACCATATTGGATTCTTTGGGGTGCTTGATGCTTTACCCCAAAATGGGACAGAATGGTTAAAACGTGGACTGTCTTTAAAAATTCAGATTGTGTGGTCACCATTTCTTGTGACTTGTATGATTCAACGAGCCAGTTGTGCCCCTGAAACTCAGGTGTCACCCCTCCACGGAGGTTTCCTGGATCCTCTATGTAGGGAAGGATGCTGCTTCTGGAGCACTGTGGCTCCCAGCTCCAGACTGGGCAGCCCCTTGTGCGCTGAGATTGTGTTTAATTCATCTTTGTATCTCCCATGAAGACAGGTGCCTCCCCTCCTCTAGGGATTCTCAGAGTGTAAGCTCCTGGCTTCTCCATTTGTTTCCTCGTGGGCTGACACGTACCCTGTGCTGGCCTCACAGCAGCAGGGAAGAAGGGGACAAATGCAGGGGTGAGGGTAGATGGATGGGTCAGGACACAGGGGAAACTGGCTCCACCATTTCCCAGTCTTGTGGCCCTGGACAAGTTCCATTCCTCTCTGAGCCTCAGTTTCTTCATCTGGAGATGGGGATGATTTAAATAGCTGACTTTTACTGAGTACGTACTGTGGGTCATGCATGTGTTAAGCACATTGCATTCAGTAACTTGTTCAGAAAGTACTTATGAGGATCACCAATGTGGAAGGGACACCAGGAGGTCAGCTTAGGGAATGGAGGCTTGGAGAGTTGGGTGACTGCCCAAGGCCCAGATGCAGATGAGTGGGAGAGTGTACACCCCAGAACCCACTCTTACAACCAGCCATCTGTGCTAGATGGACCCCAGCTGACTTGGGTGGATAGGCTGGAGGAGAGCTCAGCATGGAGCCGGCTCAGGGGAAGTCTATATGGTGGTGCTGTTATCAATGGAGGCCAGGCCTGGCTGGTCCAGAAGGCACTCAGCTGGTATCCAGTGGCTGGGGCAGTGAGAGCCTCGCCAAGTGACCCCACAGGATGCTGTGAGAGGAGGCCCTCCAAACCGGAATTCTGAAAGACCTGGTCCAGCAGGAGGGGCCAAGGCTGACAAAGTCCCTGAGGAAGGGTTGGGCTACCCCTCGGCAGGCTCTTCACTTGAGGACTCAAACGGCCCCGCAGAGGCCTGGAGCCTGAGAGGAAGCCAGCTGAGAGAGTGATGGAAGAAGAAGGTCATTTTCAGGTCTGGTTGACCCACAGGGCCCAGGCTGAAGACTGGATCTGGGAGTACCCCAGAAAGCATGTCACTAAAGGGGCAACAGTCAACTCACTGGGGCTGCCTCTTGGGATCTGGCTTTGCCTCTGTTCCCAGTGCCCCAGGGGCAGAATCCACTCCTAACCTTGGACCAAGGACCAGCAGAGAGATGGTACCAAGTAGAGGGGGCTGAGACCTGCTCAAGGACCCCTCCTAGAAGTGGCTACCAGGCCAGTAGGCGTGCCCTAGAAGAGATGGGTCTGCAGCCCCCAGGGGGATAGCATGGGGAGGCTAGGCTGGATGGATGCAGGGAAGCCATAAGAAACCTAGCAGCCCTGCTAAATCCACAGGCCAGAAACCTTGAAGCATCCTTGCCTCCTTGTTCTCGCACCCCACATCTAACCCGTTAGCAAATCCTATGGGTTCATTTCTTCCCTACTGCCATCTCAGCCACCCGGCATACTGCAGTAGTCCCGTCACTGGCCTCTCTGTTTCCATCCCTGACCCCCCATAGCTGGTTCTCCACACAGCAGCCAGAACAATAGTGTTTAAGAACAGTGTCTCCCCAGTCGGGGCCTCCAGTGGCCCTGCCTCCCAATACACACCTCTTTGATACCATGTGCTACTCCACTGCCCTTCCCTCTGCTCCATCCACTCTGGCTTCTTGCTTTTCTTCAAAATGTTCAGACACACCAGGGCGCCTGGGTGGCTCAGGTGGTTGAGTATCCGACTCTTGATTTCGGCTCAGGTCACGATCTCAGGGTGACGAGATCGAGACCCATGTCGGACTCCCTGCTGAGCAGGGAGTCTGCTTGAAGATTCTCCCTCTGCCCCTCCACCCGCTCATTCTCTCTCTAATAAACAAATAAATCTTAAAAAAAAAAAAAGTTCAGACATACCTTCCCCTCTCCAGGCCTTTGCACTGGTAATCCCCTCTGCCCAGAACACCCTTCCCTTAGGTATCTACATGGCAAACCGCCTTCCTGTCTTCCAGGCTGCTCAAATGCCACTGTATTTCTCAGTGTTCCAGCAGAATATAGCACTCCAATTAGGATTATCCGAGGACTATTCACAAAGGTGTGAATGGGATATAAGGACACCCCAAGGGAGAGTGCAATGCCCAGGTGTGGGGGCATGGGGCACCTTTACTACTCCCAGGCTTGAGGGGGAGGGAAGGAAATGGCTGCTGAAAACAGGAAAGAGACTATTGTGGGAGAAGGTCCCCAGGCAGGGGCTGTGACCCTTCAGAGAAGGAGCCAGGGGAATGAGCATCTTGCTTTCCTTGCCGGCTTTCCTGTACCCCCACTGGTGAGCCAGGCTGAAGGGCAAATGGATGCCCTCCAACTCCCTTCTCCGCTGCTCCCACCCCCAGCCCCCAAGTCCTTTTACTTCGCTCTCTTATCTTCCATGGCACTTATCTCCTGACATTTTACATTTTCACCACAGTTATTTTATGTCTATCAGCTCCAGAAGGGCAGGAATTTTGGTCTAATGCATCCCAAGGACACAGACTGGCACATAGCAGGCACTCAACAAATGATCCCGGAATACATGAGTGCCCACTCAGTCTCCCTGGGTGCCTCTGGGCAAGCTTCTGGGCCCCTGCCTGGGTAAGGGGGGGCTGGATGCTGCTGTCTGAGGCTACGGGGTTAGAGAGAAGCCAGTGGAGACCAGCAGGGTTGGGAAGGCAAGCCTGAAGGCCTGTGCTCAGAGCCACCATCCGTACCTGTGGTTCCCAGAGCAGATCCCTGCCTCTCCCCAAGGCTGTGATGTTGAGACCAGTAGGACTGTCCTTGGCAAAGGCCTTACTACTTGGTTTCTTGAACAAGGCGCTGCTCTGTGAAATCTCCTACTTCATGAATCGGCTCTTTGAGGAAACATCTGGCCCCTCTTCTGGGCCTCCAAGGAATGTTTCCTTTAGGGAGGCCTGAACTCACCCTGCATGTAGGTCCAGAGTTGTAGCTTTGGGTTCTATTCTAGGCCTCCCTTGGCCAAGCCTTGGGTTCCCAGGGACAGGCCTATGCAGGGCCTACCTGACCTCAGGGTGGCCCTTGCTGGGCTCTTGGGCTCCCTCCCCCACAGGTGCCTGGGGTACTGGGGCCTCCCTGAGATGGTACTGCCACCCCTCAATAAGCCTCAATGTCCTACAGAAGAGAAGACTCAAAACAAGGTGATGACCACCCCTGCCCTCCAATTGTAAAGTTGTGCATTTTCTCTAAGGGGTTTATCAACTGAAAGCTATTTCAATCCAAATACCAACAAGATTGGGGAGGGAGCCTCAGAAAATGATATTAATCTTCCTCTGGAAAAATAAACATTTGAAACTAGCAGGAAAATTCTGAAAAAAGGAAGGAACACACCACACAAAACCCAAAAGTCTTAAAGTAAAAGACTGATTATTTGAACACATAAAAAAAAAATTTTTTTAAACCCAAATGGAGAAAATTATTAAAAAACAAAGTCAAAAGGCCACATACTGGGAAAACTATTTGTAACAGAATGTCAGACAAAGAGCTAATTTCCTTAATATATACATTTTAGAAGTCAATGGGCAATTCACAAGGAAAGAAAAATTCCAGATGAACAGTAAATACATGAAAAGATGCTCACCTTCACTCATAATGAAAGAAACATATAACAAAATAACAATGAAATGCCATTTTCAACTGCTAGATTGGCACCAATGAAATGTTTTACAATGTATAGTGTTGGTGAGGGTGTGGGGAGACAACCTCAAACACTGCGGGAATGCAAATTGACCAGTATATTGGAAGGCAATTTTGAAAACAGCTACTGTGGTGGAGTAAAGGTGGTCACAAATTCTTTGACACTTCTCCCCTAGAGAGAGGAGGTCGGTGATCCCTTCCTTTGAATTTGGGCTGGTCTTTAAGTTCTCTGGTCAATAAAATCTAGCAAAAGTGATACTGTTTTAGTTCCAAGCATATCCCTTAACTTGCCCAGCAGATTCAACGTTCTGCCTCTTACCTGAACTGCAATGACCTGTTGTGAGAAGCCCAAACCATGTGGGGGAGCCCTGGAGGATATGACATCATTTGCAGAGAGAGGTCAAGAAGTGCTAAGGCCTTGTCATGTGAGTGATGAAGCCGGCTTGGCAGAGAAGGAAAGACAAACCATCCAGCTGAGCCCTTTCTGAATTCCTCACCTGCAAAATTGTGAATAAGATAAAATGGTGGTTTTAAACATTGCATTTGGGGGTGGTTTGCCATATAGCAATAGGTATCTAGAACAGCTATCCAAATTTAAATTTATCCTTTGACCCAGCAATTTGACCTCTATGAATCTAACCTACCAAATGTTTGCACAGTGCACAAAAACACCTGACCAAAGAAGTTCATTGCAGCAATGTTTGTGGTAGATAGCACGACGCTGGAAACAATCCATCTGTCCCTCATCAGCAGAAAGGCTAGTATATCTAATTAATGATATATACTGTACCTAGGGAAAGCCTGAACCAAGAAAAAGTACCATCTGTAGTCCTATGAGCCAAGAGTGACACACAGAGTGGTTAAGAGCATGGATTCTGACACTGGTTCTGCCATCTGTGATCTGTGTGACTTTGGGAAAACTGTTTAACCTCTCTGTCCTATAATTTCCTTATCTGTAAATTGAGGATGATAATCATAGCACCTCTTTCAGAGGGCCATGGTGGGAAATAAATGTGTTAAAATGATAAGCCTGGTATGGATCTGTGCTATATGTACTTTGGAGATGCAAAGAACTTGAATTTAAATTGGGTTGGAGCAGACTTTTAATATCCTTAAGAGGCTGCAAAACAAAGGATCTGCCAGATTGCCATCCTGAGACAGACAAGGGAGATTTGACAAAGACTGGAAGGTAGCTGTGGGAGAATGTTTTCAGAGAAATGGACTCACACTATACTTATTGTTCTTTTTCTTGCTATCTCTTAGACATTCTTCCTACCTCAGCACTTACAGACCCATTCATTTCTTTTTTTAACTACTGCTCAGTATTGCCTTGTATGGCTGTACTTCAATTTATTTCATCATCCTCTAATTTTTCCAGATTTATTGAGAAATAACTGACATACATCATTGTATAAGTTTAAGGCATACAGGGAGGCCTGGGTTGCTCAGTCAGTTGAGCGTCTGCCTTTGGCTCGGGTCATGATCCCGGGGTCCTGGGATCGAGTCCTGAGTTGGGCTCCTTGCTCAGCAGGGAACCTGCTTCTCCCTCTACCTGCCACTCCTGTGCTCTCTCCCTCTCTCTCTCTCTGACACATAAATAAAATCTTAAAAAAAAAAGTTTAAGGCCTTAAACTTTGATTTACATATATTGTAAAATGATCACCAACCCCTACTGGTGGACTCGAGTTGTTTCCAGTTCTTTCCTACAGTTGCAAACAACACTGCAGCAAATGTCCTTGCACATTTATCTTTGCCCTAGCACTGCTATTATTTCTGTGGTGCAGATTCTTCAAAATGGAGTTGAGGATAAAGTATATATACACTTAAAAAAATTCTGATAGCTCTGGTCAAATTGTTTCAATATCTGGTCCCATCCCCCACCCCCACTGCATTTGTTTTCACAACTCTGTCTCTTTGTACTTATTATTTTTTTTAGATGAACAAAAGTATTATCTGGCCTTGTTTTTGAATTAATATAGTGATGAATCAAGCACCATGTCTGCCTTGAAAAACTCAGTCTGGTAGGGATGGGGGGTGCAAAGTGGTATCCTGTGTGTGTGTGGGGGAGGGGTAGCTGCAAAATAAACTGCAAAATAAACAGTCACCCCATCAAGGCTATAGGGCTGGCACAGAAAGCTGGACCATGGGCTCTGGGAGCCCCCAGGAGACAGCAGCATTGGGGTCTGAGACAATCAGGGAGGCCTCCGTAGAGGAGGTTTCCTGCCTAGCCTTTGCATTGGTTCCAGAGCATTTTCTAGAACACTGCCTCATTGAATGCTCACGGTAGCCCTTAGCATTAAGTGGTATTATTATCTCCACCTTCCAGATGAGGAAACTGAGGCCTGGAGAATGAAAGTCTTGCCCAGCTCCACCTCTGCGCTCTTCGCTTCCCTTTTCCTCTCTCTTCGCTGTGCTTCCCTATCCTTCCCCCAGCCCCAGCCCCAGCCCCAGCCCCTCCTGCCCCCACCCTGAGCCACGCCGCCTGGGCGGGCAGAGCCCTGCAGAGCCCGGGGCACTGCTTCTGGATACTGCCCGTGGCTTCTCACAGAGGCTGGGGCGCAGACCCCACGGGTCTAGGTGGCACCCTGACCCGCTCTGCGGCCTCGTCCACACGGCGCTGCCTCACCTCCTGGCCCACAACTCGGGGTCATCCCCGCCCTCCTCCAGGCAAACTCCTCTGGGAAATCAGGCCTTTGGAAGTTCTGGGTGAAGCATTTGCTCCGTCCGAGCTGCAGTGTTTCAAATGCACGTCACCCTGCCCCCCAGGGGCCAAGTCCTTGCCTGGCGGTCAACGACCTGCGCCGCGCTTCTGGGGAAAACCTCAGAAAACAGAGCGGCAGGAAGCCGGCGTGGAGGACCAGCTCCGAGAGACCCGGAGCCTGCGGGCGGGACACCGCCTCTCCGCGCGGAGCCTCCTCCGCGGCGGCCGGACCCAGCCAACCTCAGGTCGGAATACGGTCGGTAATCCCCGGCGGCTAGCTCCTCACGCTCCTCCGGCTTCCGTGACGCTTGCGCCCGCGGTGGCGGCGGACTACTGTGCGCACAACTGAGGCAATTACGGTATTTCCCGCCGGCAGCTCTTGGCCGGCTCTGGCTCCCCCGTGTGTCGACCTCGGGAACTGAGACGCTGCGCAGCTGGAGAAGCGGCGTGAGCAGCCGCTGCATGCCTCTCTCTGGTCCGGCTCCTCCGCACCCCCGTGCCTGCTTGCGCTGTTTTTTGAGGTTTCCCCGCCAAACGCTTTTCTTCTCGGCGAGCGAGCGCACCCTAGAGTCGGGGTGCCCCAGGGGACGCAGACTGCAGCGCCACGTGGACCACGGAGTTCGCCTTCCAAGGGAGGCATGCCCGGATTCCACTCTCAACTCTCCTGTTTGCAGTGTGTCCCTGGGCGAGTCATTAACCTCTCTGCACTTCACTTGCCTCCTCTGTAAAGTGGAGCATAGATTCACTAGTTCTTGCCTCACAGGGTTGGCAAGATGATTCAGCGGGATAGGTGGCAGGTAATAATTACCACCATAATGAGTCACTCGCTGTGTCCGGGGACTGCTTTAGGCATTTTGAAATGACCCTATAACAAAGTATCATCCATAGATGAAGAAATTGAGATTTAGTGATTTGCCCAGAGTCACACAGCTAGAGAATGGCAGAACTGGGACTAGACTCAGGAAGACATGAGTACACAAGTGTTGGGCAGTGTGGGTGGGGTCCAAGGTTTGTCAGTTTAGGGGGGTGCCCAGAGGCCTGAAAAATAAAACAGCCCTGCCTTCCTTTGGGTCGTTAATCAATGCTTTCTTCCTCTAATGAATTATTCATCCCGTCTTAGTATAATGCTTTCATGGGCAGGGAACTAAGACCATCCAGGCCTACTTCCTTGTGAAGAGATGGGGAGACACTTTTCCAGGGTCACATGGCTGGGCACTGCAGAACAGGGCTGGAGCTCAGTCCTAGCCCTGTGCTGGGGCTGTTTCCCCTACCCTTCCCCTCCTGGTAAGCAACACTCAAGCTACCCACTCGGTACTGGGACCTCTCCAGGGGCTGCACACTGGCCTCTCCTGACCCTACTTGGTCAGAACCTTCTGCCATTCCCCTTCCGTCCCTTCTCCAGGCATCCCAGGCCTCTCTCCCCTAAAGGGCTGATGCTCTAAGCAGAGAGACCTGTGCAGCCTCTGGCTTCCAAGTGCTGGCACATGACCAGTAAATATTTTGCCATTGTGTGTGTGTGTGTGTGTGTGTATCTTTTTTTCCTTTTGTTAGAATGGGGCTAGCTGGGGCACCTGGGTGGCTCAGTCTATTAAGCATCTGCCTTGGGCTCAGGTATGATCCCCACTGAGCAGGGAGGCTGCTTCTCCCTCTTCCTCTACCTCTCCCCACTGCTTGTGCATGCGCTTTCTCTCTCTCTCTCTTTCTCAAATAAATAAATAAAATCTTAAAAAAAAAAAAAGAATAGGGGGTGCCTGGGTGGCTCAGTAGGTTAAGGGTCTGCCTTGGGCTCAGGTCATGATCCCGGGGTCCTGGGATCAAATCCCGCAGCAGGGAACCCGCTTCTCCCTCTCCCTCTGCCGTTCCCCCTGTGTGTGCTCTCTCACTCTCATTTTCTCTCAAATAAATAAATAAATAAATAAATAAATAAAATCTTTCTAAAAAAAAAAAAGGAATGGGGTTAGCTATGGTAGCTACACTTGTGGTGAGCACAGCATAATTTTATAAGCTGTCTAAACTTGTCCAGTCGTGATGTTGTTCATCTGAAACTAATGTAACATTGTGTGTCAGCTATACTCAACTATAGGAAAGAAAGAAAGAAAGAGAAAGAGGCTAACATAATATATAGGGAGTGATTCCCAGTGTCATCTCAGGGTATATGAATCATGGGTATGTTTTTTCTTGTCTGTATTTTAAATTTTCTTTGGTAATGAACAAACATTACTTCATGAGTAAGACAAGAAATAAAAGTTGTTTCAAAATTCTTTTAAGGGGGCGCCTGGGTGGCTCAGTCGGTTAAGGGTCTGCCTTCGGCTCAGGTCATGATCCTGGGGTCCTGGGATTGAGCCCCCATATGGCTCTCTGCTTGGTGGGAAGCCTGCTTCTCCCTCTCGCATCCCCCTGCTTGTGTTCCCTCTCTTGCTGTGTCTCTCTGTCAAATAAATAAATAAAATCTTTTTTTTTTAAGATTTTATTTATTTATTTGAGAGTGAGAATGAAAGAGAGAGAGAGCATGAGAGGGGGAGGGTCAGAGGGAGAAGCAGACTCCCTGCCGAGCAGGGAGCCCGATGCGGGACTCGATCCCGGGACTCCAGCATCATGACCTGAGCCGAAGGCAGTCGCTTAACCGAGCCACCCAGGCGCCTCAAATAAATAAAATCTTAAAAAAAATTCTTTTAAGAAAAAGGTCAGCAATCATAAAGAAAATGAGCTAGAAATAAGAATAGATTGTTCTCAGAAAAACAATGAAAATGGTTTTTAAACATAGACAAGATCACCAACTTTGCTCCTAATGACAGAAATGCAAATTAAAATTACACTGAGCCCCACATTGGGCTCTCTGCTCTGCTTCTCCTTCTCCTTCTGCCCCTCCCCCTGCTCATGCTCTCTCTCTCTGTCAAATAAATAAATAAAATCTTTTTAAAAAATTACACTGAGTTACCATTTTTTACCTATCAGATTGGTAAAAATCCGAGTTTGACAGCATGTTCTGTTGGGAAAGCTGTGAGGAAATAGGCACTCTCATACATTGCTGATGAAGTGCAAAACAGTACAGATTCTGTGGAGGGGATTTGGCAATCGCTAGCAAAATCACATGTGCATTTACCCTTCAACAGAGCAAACCCGCTTCTAAGAACAGACCCCACAGTTGCACTGGTAAAAAAAATGCCAAATGATACATATGCACAAGGCTATTCATCGTAACTCTATTGTAATAGCCAAAGATTGGAAATAGGGCACGTGTCCATCAGAAGGGACTGGTTGCCTAAGCCACACAATGGAGGACCCTGAGGCCGCAAAAGGAACAAGATCACAACATACCATTGCAGAGAGATCACCCGGTGGGTTCTTCTGTGAGTAAAGCAATGTGGGTGTCCACAGTAGGCAAATCTGTAGAGACAGAAGGTAGATTAGTGGTTGCCTAACCACTGGGGCTGTGGTGGCAGAGGTGGGGTAGTGAGAGCTAAAAAGGTATGGAGTCTCTGGGGCACCTGGGTGGCTCAGATGGTTAAGCATCTGCCTTCGGCTCGGGTCATGATCCCAGGGTCCTAGGATCGAGCCCCATGTCTGGCTCCTGGCTCAGCAGGGAGCCTGCCTCTCCCTCTGCCTCTCCCTCTGCCTCTCCACCTGCTCGTGCTCTCTCTCTCTGTATCTCTGTGCCTTGAATGAATAAATAAAATCTTTAAAAAAAAAAAGGTATGGAGTTTCTTTTTTTGGGTGATGAAAATGTTCTAAAATTTAATGGTGATGATAATACAACTCTGATCAATACTAAAAACCATTGAATTGTACACTTACATGCGTGAATTGTACAGTGTCTTATATCTCAATAAAACTGTTATCAAAAAAAAGGCAAGGTGAGGGGCGCCTGGGTGGCTCAGTCAGTTAAGTGTCTGCCTTCGGCTCAGGTCATGATCCCAGCGTCCTGGGATTGAGCCCCGCGTCGGGCTCCCTGCTCAGCGGGGAGCCTGCTTCTCCCTCTCCCTCTGCCTGCCGCTCTGCCTACTTGCGCTCTCAGTCTCTCTGTCAAATAAATTTAAAAAAAAATCTAATAATATAAAAAAAGGCAAGGTGAGCAATTGTGTGTAATATGCTATTATAGGAAAGGGAAAATACATATCTATGTCATGTTACATATACATATATATGATTGAATTAAACAATATACGGGTAAGCAACAACAATAGAAAAGATATTGTGTCAGTCAGGATTCAGTTGGAGAGCAGAATCACTCTGAGATTATAGGATGGGGGCTTTATCTTAGTAATTTGCTTTGCACAATTGTGGAAGGAGCTGGTGAAGACAGTGACTGCAAGAGGAGTTGGGGGAACAGAGGATTCACTAGCCAGTCAATCTGAGAAACCAAGTATGTCCAGCCACCCAAATGGAACCACAGGGGAAGCTGCAGGGAGGTCTCTAGGAAGCTGTCTCCTTTACACAGAGGATGCCTCTGGGCCTGCCTCTGAGCATCTATGGTAGCCTGGGGCTGCTGTTGGTCAGTAGGGTCATCAGATCTGAAGAAAAGCTAGATATGAATGAAGGAGAGCAAGAACCAGCTGGAAGCTGCTGGGCTATGACAACTGACTGTGACAACCTTCAGAAACTTGACTTTGAAACTATAAATATTTTACATAATTATTTTTAAAAATTAACATTTAAAAAAGCAAAAATGAAACAAACCTATGATTTTTTCCCCAAACCTATGCATGTTGAGTTGGTGGCATAACTACACAGAGAGGAACTATTCCAAGTGACTTCAAAACAGTAATGTGATTATATGCCCCTAGTGGGATATATCCAAATGACAAAACCTTTTTTTTTTTTTTTTTTAAGTAGGCTTCACGGCTGGCACAGAGCCCAACACGAGGCTTGAACTCAAGATCCTGAGATCAACACCTGAGCTGGGATCAAGAGTTGGACGAACTGAGCCACCCAGCGCCCCCCCCTTTTTAAGTAAACTCTTCACTCACCATGGGGCTCAAACTCACAATCGTGAGATCATGAGTTGCGCACTCTATGGACTGACCCAGCCAGGTGCCCCAACAAGACAAACTTTTAAAAATACTTAAACCTGTTCAGGAACCATGTTGTTGGTTTTTATGTTGGAATTGTTATTCTGAGACTGTTGTGAGTGTATTATGGTTAAAGTGAATGAGGAATTATGTTGGAGTCACTGAGAAGTGGGACTTCCACCATGGGATAAAGAAAATACAGATGTAATTTTGATAACATTAGGTAAAACCCTGTTGTCTTGAATTTGAGCTTATATTCATTCAGTCTTGAATATGAACTCTTGATGCA